AGTATTATTATTTGTTATATTCACATAGTAGCTTGCTAGTAAAGACGTAATAAAAGTTGCATAGAAACATAACATGGTGGCAGCGGTGGGATAGAAAGATATAAGGAGATCTAAGGAATAAGACTAAGCTAGATGGCAGTCGAACAAGCGACAAACGCTCCAATCATACATGGGATTCAACCGCCAACGGGTTTGGATCTGAAATCAAGAAATAAAGCCGAGAATTGGAAGGCATATAAACAACGCTGGGAGAACTACATAATTGTGACACAGCTAGACAAACAACCAGAAGAATATCGAGTCGCATTATTCATATACTGCATAGGACAAGAAGCCGTGAAAGTCTACAATAGTTTCGATCTAGCGCCCGAGGACAAACGCAAGTTGGTAAAGATTATTGACGAGTTTGACAAGTATGCGATTGGCCAAGTTAATGAAACGTATGAAAGATACAATTTCAACAGCCGTGCCCAACAAGACGGGGAAACTATTGATGAGTACGTCGCTAAACTAAGAACATTGGCACAAACATGTGGTTTCTGCGTTTGCCTGCACGATTCACTTATTCGCGATAGAATTGTGCTGGGGGTAGCCGATGCTAGTACACGGAAACGACTGCTACAACATTCGAAATTGAATCTACAAGAAAGCATTGAAATATGCCGAAGTTTTGAAGCGACTAATTTGCAGATTAGACAGATGGGCGAACAGAATAAATTAGACGAAGTAAACAAAGTTCAATCAACCAAATCGAGAACAAAGGGGGACGGAGCACGGAACAAAGCAAACTATGGCGAATTCAAACAAGAGTCAATACAATACAAAGCGTGTGGATATTGTGGTAGAAAGCACAAGTTTGGACGAGAATCGTGTCCAGCGTGGGGTGAGACGTGTAATTCGTGTGGAAAGCGGAATCGTTTCGCAAAGCAATGCAGTAATTTCAGTAATTTCAATTCAGTAATTTCAACAATTGCAAAGATTTTCGAGAAAATTGTCTATACACAAATACTTGATTATTTAGACGAAAACTGTATCATATCACCAAACCAGTCAGGGTTTCGATCACTCCATTCAACTGAAACTGCACTACTGAGCTTAACAAATGAATGGTTAATAAACATGGACCAAGGTCTCATTAATGGTGTACTATTCTTAGACCTAAAAAAAGCATTCGATACGGTGGACCACAATATTCTTTTATCTAAATTGACAGCTTATGGAATAAAGGGTACAGCACACAAATGGTTTCAGTCATATTTAAGGAAGAGGCAGCAAATATGTAAAATTAACAAAACAAATGTCGGATATAAGAACAATTACCTGCGGAGTTCCTCAAGGGACAAATCTAGGCCCGTTGCTATTTCTCCTTTATATAAACGATCTGCCAAATTGCCTTGTAACAACAAGCGCCACAATGTTTGCGGATGATACAAGCCTATCATGTAACGGACTATCATCCGCAGATATAGAGAGTAAACTGAATCACGATTTAGAAATAATTCACACATGGTTAACCGCAAACAAGCTGACTTTAAACCGTAAAAAAACTGAATACATGATTATTGGCTCACGACAAAAAATAAATTCTATTGGCACAAATACTACAAACATATCAATCGCAGGCGAGCAAATAAGACGAGTTGAAAGCACAAAATCCTTAGGCATAATTATAGATGAACAATTAAAATGGGAAGAACATAACAGTAAACAATGTAAAACAATCTCAGCACGTATCGGAATGTTAAGAAGAGCCAGAGATTTTGTTACACAAGATGTTTTAATTACAATGTATAATTCACTTGTATTTCCTCACTTTACCTACTGCTCAACTGTGTGGCATGGCTTTCGCGCTGATCACATTAATAAATTATATAAGTTACAGAAAAGGGCTGCTCGTGTAATAACAGGATCCAGTTACGACATACGATCAACTAACATTTTTGAAACCTTAAACTGGAGACCTATAAAAGACAACTTAGACGAGCGCGACCTTGTAATGATATTTAAGGCCCTTAAAGGTCTAGTGCCCGACTACCTAATGCAGACAATTAACTTGAACGAAAACGGCAACTATCAATTACGTAGCAACAATAGAAATATTTACCTACCTAAGCCAAAGACAAATTTTCTAAAAAATAGCTTTCCCTATCGAGGAGCTATGAGTTGGAATAACCTACCTAATCATATTATTGATCAAGCATTAATAGAAGATGTCTCTGTCAACTCCTTTAAGAATGCCATGTAAATAGTTTATGTAAGTGGCCTGTTTTTCTCGCTTTTAGATTTCCTTTTTTTTTCTCTTTTTTTCTCTCTCCAATTATGTAAATATTTTAATGAACTCACGGCCCTTTGAAAAACAGATGTACTTCTGAAAGGCTACCGTGATTAAATAAGATTAAATAATAATAATAATAAATAATAATAACAACGCAGGAGAGACAATACGAACCAAGTGAAAGAAGCAGACTCGAGCTCTGACTCAGAGTACATCGATAGCGTGACTGTGAAACCAGATAAGATAAGCTCGATTAGTCAACAACCATCGAAAGAAGTATACGCTAAAATGATCGTGAGAGGCAACCCAATTAAATTCCATGTCGATTGCGGGGCAACCGTAAACGTGTTACCTATGAAGTATTTAGCGGGTGAAAACATCGAACCGACAGATAGAACTCTACAGATGTGGAACAAGACTGAATTAAAGCCAAAGGGAACTTGCCGTCTTACAATATGAAATCTGAAGAATTTATGGCAGTTGAAGAGAATTTGACACCATTACTTGGGGCTAAAGCGATTCAACGCATGGGAATTGTTGAATTACATAATGAGAACTTTGAACAAGTAGCCCAGGTAAATACAGGAATCAAAGACACAACAAGTACACAGTCAGCAACGACAGTGACGAACCGAATAATTGAAGAATTTGCAGACGTGTTCGAAGGAGAAGTGGGTACGCTAGAAGGAGAAGAACATCTTGAAGTAGATCCAACGGGACAACCGACGACAGCGCAATCAAGACGAGTGCCATTTGCCGTAAAAGCAAAGGTGAAAGACGAGTTAATGCGACTAACGAATCTTGAGGTTATACAGCCAGTTGATGAACCCACGGACTGGGTCAGCAATATGGTCGTGGCAACAAAACCATCTGGTCAACTACGCATGTGCATCGATCCCAAACAGCTGAAGAAGGCCCTAAAACGTGAGAGGTATCCCATACCAGTCATTGAAGATGTGATGCCAGATATAGCCAAAGCCAAAGTTTTTACAAAGGTAGACGCGCGGAATGGCTATTGGCACGTCATGTTGAACGAAGAGTCCAGTAGGTTGACGACATTCGACACGCCGTTCGGGAGATATCGTTGAAAACGGTTACCGTTCGGGATCAGCGTTGCATCAGAGATCTTTCAGAAAAGGATCCACCAAGCCTTAGAACGACTAGAAGGAGTGCTCACCATACATGATGACATGGTGATATACGGAGTAGGTGACACCATTGAAGAAGCAACAATCGATCATAATAGCAAATTAGTGAACTTTCTCACAACATGTAGGGAAAAGGGGGGTGAAGCTCAACAGAAGAAAGTTGGAGTTATGTTGTACAGAGATTCCATTTATGGGTCATATCGTAACCTCTGAAGGGTTGAAAGCAGATCCAGATAAAATGGACGCTATAGTCAACATGCCCAAACCTACAGACGTAAAGGATGTACGAAGATTATGTGGATTTATAAATTATCTGGCGAAGTTCATGCCACATTTATCCGATGTGATGGAGCCACTGCGACAGCTTACACATAAGGAAGCAGAATGGAAATGGATGCATGAGCACAACGCTGCCTTTGAAAAGATCAAACGTATGGTGGTTGCAACACCGGTACTGAAGTACTACAACCCTGACGAAGAGTTAACCATCCAATGTGATGCCAGCGATAAGGGATTGGGAGCTGCCCTTCTACAGCAAGGACAGCCTGTTGCCTTCGCAAGCCGTGCCCTGACAGATGCCGAAACAAGATACGCTCAGATTGAGAAAGAGATGTTGTCGGTGGTGTTTGCTCTTCACAAATTTGACCAATACGCGTGTGGACGACGGGTAACAATCGAGAATGACCACAAGCCACTGGAAGCCATAGCTCGGAAACCGCTTCACGATGCACCCAAACGGATTCAAGGTATGTTGCTGAACATACAGAAATATGACACCGTGATTTCCTACAAACCTGGACCTCAGATGTATCTGGCAGATACTTTGAGCAGAGCCTTCTTGACCAGCAGCGCCAACACACAAGGAGAATTTGAAAGAATCAACGCACTCAAAGCCATTTCACTTTCCAAAGAGAGACAAGAACAGATCAAAAGAGATACAGAGCGCGATGATGTTCTCCAACGATTAAAAGAAGTCATACAGCGGGAGTGGCCTGAGCAGAAACAAGACCTACCAACCACGCTTCATCCATATTATACCTATAGAGATGAGCTTAGTGTGTACGATGGTCTGGTCTTCAAGGGAGAGCGATTGGTCATTCCGAAAGGAACGCGACAGCAAATGAAGCTTGATGTACATAGGTCACATATTGGAGTGAATGGCTGCCTAAGGAGAGCACAGGAATGTATGTTTTGGCCTGGGATGAGCGCAGAGATAAAGGAGTTTATAGGTCAGTGCGAGACATGTCGAAGGTATGAGACCAGACAACAGAAAAAAACGCTGATGAGTCACGAGATAACAGAGCGACCATGGGAAAAAATTGGCGCAGATATCTTTACCATTGGTGACAACAACTACCTCGTGTTGGTAGATTACTACTCAAATTTCTGGGAAATCATTCGTCTCGAAGAAACCAAAGCCAGCACATGTATTAGAAAGATAAAAGGTCATTTTGCCAGGAATGGATTTCCGGATATCTTTGTCAGCGATAATGGTAGCCAGTTTGTCTCTGAGAGATTTGGAAACTTTGCAAAATTGTGGGGTTTCGAACATTGTGTAAGCAGCCCCGGACACCAGCAAGCCAATGGAAAGGCAGAATCTGCTGTAAAATCTGCAATGAAGCTGATACGTAAAGCGGTTGAAACTGGAAAAGATCCGTACCTGGCGATTTTGGCACATAGAAATACACCCACTGAAGAAATGGAGTCCAGCCCAGAGACTACTCGGTAGACGATGCAAAACCCTCCTGCCGACCACTACTGAATTACTCAGGCCATGCAAAACCCTACTGCCGACCACTACTGAATTACTCAGGCCGGAGAGTATTCTAAATACAAAGATTATGAAACAGAGGAAAAACCGAAATGACAAACAAGCGGATTACTACAACGTAGGTGCTAAAAATCTGTTGCCTCTTGAAGAGGGAGATACTGTGCGAATGCGGCCATTTAGACTTGGACAGAAATCATGGGATCGAGCAACGGTTAAACGAAGATATGATGAACGGTCGTACGAGGTAGAGACTGATAGGGGGAATTTCCGACGAAATAGAGTAGATATTAAGAAGACGACGGAACAAACTGAACACCCGACTGAGGGGAGACCACAGATTGGTGGGCGGCAGCCCGCCATTGAGATCCAGCCAGAAATACCAGAAGTGACAGGAAACGACCGACATACCGTTCCAGTGACTACGAGTAACAATGATGAGCAACGAGTAACAATGACGGCCAACGATGCAGCGACGGGTATCAATGAAGATCAGCACAAAGCGCAAGAGCATCCGATGACACAAGAGTCAAGTAGACCAAGACGAGTGAGAAAGAAACCCAATTACTTGAATGACTACACCATGAACTGAATAAACAGTGAACGATTATTATGATCCTATTCATTAACTTTAACATTATGAACTTACTTAGTTAGTGCTCTAATTTTAAAAAATGGGGGGGAAAAAGAACAACAGTTTACATTTATAACATAGGTAGTTTTAGTATATTCATTATCTAATTCTTTTATAAGAGAAAGGATGTTACGTAATTAATCATGTGACATGTGTCACATGACTTTGTATATAAGAATTGGACACCTAGTATTATTATTTTTTATATTCACATAGTAGCATGCTAGTAAAGACGTAATAAAAGATGCTTATAAACATAACAA